CCGGCCCGCCGTGAGCGGCCCCGAGGTCCTCTGGGGAGGTGCGGGCCGGCGGCTCCACGGCGGAGCCTGGCCGGGAGCGGCTGAGGTGTGTCGCCCTCCGCCGGCCGGCTGGCTGAGGGGAGGAGAAGGGCGCGGGGCCTACTCGGCCTTCAACCGAGTTACCGAGGGAATGAAACCCTGCTGGCTTTCTTTGGGCCCTCCGGGGACTGGCAGCGGTTGGAAGATTTGTTGGGGAGGGTGTTAAAAGTGCATTTGGCAGCGGGGCGGGCACTTCGCGTTGCCTTGTGTCAACTCGAAAATCGCAAGCAGGCCTTGTGGCAGTCATCCTTACTTACGCTCAGGAGGATCTCCTCAAGCTCCGATTCTACGCACAGGCATGTCTTTGCCTTATTTGCACGTTTATTCACAGTCCCGATATCAGACATCACGCGTTCTTTAGAATGAACCATGCACATTAACGCAGGTAAAAAGAGGGAGGCATGCATAGACCCAGCAGCATCGTGGAAAAACTACTTAAATCGCTCGATAACAAACCAAACTCACCCACAGCATTTGCAGCCATCTCCGTGGTTGCGAGCTGAACACATACCGGGACCACTTCATACTGAATTTCATAGTAAAGTTGATGAGTGTGCCCAGTGAGGCAAACGTTTACAATAAGGACTTCTAGAAATGGATGATACTACATTTTCAACGTTTGTTTGAGCAGTGAATATACATTTCCTTGAAAAGTATAATATCCCAATATTTGCCTCTTAATAAAGATTAGCCAAGTAAAAGTCTTTATTTGTGACATATTAGGTCAAATTCTATAGTTTCCAGACCCCAGAAAATTTCTCTAATGCGGGGGAAAAAGGGGAACAGTTACAAAGGAGTATTTTGATATACTGAAATGAGGAACTCCCAGGTTACAGTATATATTTTTCAACAGATCTCTTATAAAATCTAACAAAAATATTTCTCCTTCCGAGTTAATCTCATTATTACAGTGTACTGTATACAAAGTCACACCATTAACAATGACTTCAGGGAGATTTGGGATTGGCATAGAAAGTAGACGTTACTTTTATCACAGTTGCTGAGGTTGTTGGCCCCTTTTGAGACTGCCAAAGAACAGACTGACTTCACCCGCTCGTGCATTATGAACAATCACTGCCAGCAGAGTAATGCTGCATTAGGAAACGTACACCCTCCTCAGCAGGTATTATTCAATGCTTTTCTTTAGAATAGTTTCTCTTTTCTTCATCAGCACCAAAAAAACCCTGTGCCCTGAAAACATTATTTCATTTGACGGGACCTTTAAGTAAGCAAAAGAGCACAAAGCTCAGACAAATCAAACAATCATTTACTTGATGTGGAACTCTCCTCCAGCAGCTCACAAGGAGGAGAGATTCTCCCTCTTGTTTAGAAAAACCTTTGTTCAGTGCCTACCTAACATCCTCTCAGCTTCCTATTTCAACCTCTTGTCAGGGCACTGCAAAGAGAAAGAGGCTGCTGCAGCACAGCCTCTGTAGAGTTGAATTCATTTTGGAATTCCTGCAAGGTCGTGTGGTCTCACGGTGGAAGAAAGGCATCTACAGAAAGCCAGCTAACGCTTTGAGCAGTTTGCTTCCTTTCGTAATGAATTTGTATGTGGTAATGACAAAGTGTGGATCACATGTTCATTTCCAAATGTTTGTACTCTTGGGCTTTTAGAAAGATATAAATTAGTTAAGTTGAACAAATGTGGCAGCTGCATGTTTTAGTGGGATGTTTTATCGGAGAATGTAAAAGTTGTGTAAACGTGACCTTTTAATATTTAGTATATAACTGTGGATTACAGACATATACTATGAAATACTTTCAGGTGAATTAAATGCATTTTTAAAAGTACGTCTAGGATAAAAAGAAAACCAGAATTCCTGTTAATTAAGAGATGTTTTATTCCAAAATTGTAAATATCAGAATGAACTCAATACTTACATTTTTCAGTTTATCCAATCATAACACTTTGAAATTCTATATATAGATATAAAAATACAACCTAACAAAATCAATTAAATTTGAATTAGGTTGAAAAGAATGAGTTGAAAGAAAACCATAGCTGAATAGCTATATATTTGGTACCAGTACAAAATTACTGTGCCACAATATGCACTTTTTTTTGCAAGTTTTATAATTTAATAAAAATAAGGTGACTTCAAATGTATATTGCTCTCCTTAAATGTACCGAAGACCTTTGACAGAAGTTCGTTGTTACTGAAACTATTCCCATTTGTTACAAGTATTTACTATATGACTAAGAAACTCAAAATGCAGCCCACTCATTAGTATGTTAATTTTCTGCTTGTGCAAACAATGCTCTACTGATTTAATGCACGAGCAAAAACAAAAAAGGCGAAAAAAGTTCTATGACAAAGAAATAAAATGTTACATTTTCAACATATTTGTATCATAGCAAATACAGGTTTCCTTCATGGACTAGAAAGGGCCACCTAAACCTGTAAAAGTTTTTTGAAGATTCAGACGCTACATTAAATCTTCAGTTACTTTGCAAAAGCCAAGGGTCAAGTTTTTCAACCTTAATGCAGCATATTTGGAGAAGGTCATTATATAAAAGGTTAGATTTCCTGTGTAATATAAAAATTCTACACACTGGAAAAAAATAGACCGAAATACTAAATACCATAATCACATGAAACAGTAGTAGCACTACAGACTCAAACCCATCATTGTATAATCTCTAGTCAAATTTTCCACACTGGGCTTAAAGAATATTGTATTAATTCTCTGTAACTCAAGAGTTAGTAATGGATACACTTTAGAATATACATCACGTTTCACCCAATGTGGGTGATCAAAAAACCTTCAATACCATTCATTTATGACCTCAATTTAACACACTGGTGTTGTTAATATCCTTTAAAATATTGACCACCGCAAGTCAACAAATGCTACATCACTTCTCAGGGGAACAGATGACTTGGCAGTGAACTAGATCAGATCATGTTATATTGCACTTGGGAATTAGAAGCTTTGAGATTCAGTACCAAGGAGTTCAGATCCCACTAAAGTCAACAAGAGTGATTAGAGCTCAGCATATAAACATGATCCAAACTGTGGGACTTGTTTGTGATAGGAGGCCACTGCCAACAGAGAACTAATGGGTTCTTCCCATCTCAGAAAGAGACAAACAAACAAAATCATCTCTTTTCTGCAAGCCTCATCTGCCACCACGTTTTTACTTTTTGGATTACCATTTTCCTTTCATAAAATGCTTTTTTCCCCCCTCATTAACAGCCAACAGCATTGAACACAAAGGGTCGCATTCAAAACCAGTTGTAATGAATGTCAGGTCTTCTGTGACTTCACGAGACTGTGGAACAAGTCTTAGCCTGGACAGAAGACAAAAACTGACTACCTGACTACTTTGAAACCCCTGATTTTCACCAGGGTAATTGCTGCTCTGTGACTATTTGTCAGGGTGTGGGAAAAAATACTACAGCGCCTATGCCAGGGCAGACCCAAATGTTGCAAAAATCCAGGTGCAACATATATCCTTCAAATCACATAAACATGCTGATTATAGCTGAAATATTTTCAAAATATCTGTGTGAGTTTACCTTGAAGACTAAGCATGGACACAAGTTTAGAAACAACTAAATATTAAACTCTTTGCTTGGAATAAATGTGTTATAAAGAAAGAGTATATATAATAAACTTTCTTAAAAGTTTCCACATGAGTCATACGAATCAAAGATCAATGTGTAAATCAAAATTTAAAACAGAAAGATGAGACAAATAAGATTATAAACCTGATACTGATACCTGTGAACATTTCCTCTAAGATTCCAACTTACATTGATAAATGTATCCCATATTTGACTTTGCAATCATGCTTAATCAAAAGCTATCAGCACAATTTGGTAGTTTCTTGAAAGAAATGTAAGCCTATAAATTAGGTTCCTGGCTTCACATTTTCTAAATATTGATAGTGTGCATTTTGTAATATAAATCACATTTTAATACTGATGATGAGATGCTGCAATAACTGCAAACTGGAGTATATACAGAATTTCTTATTTCATTATAAAAGATGTAGCTCTTAAAATAATTTGTCTAAATATTTACGTAGCTGTTGATTTTATATTCATAAAAAGTATATTTCTGAAACATAACTCTCAAAAGAGTACTAATTCTCTGTTATTGTACTTTTTTCATGTTTGCAGTATGCAACTTACACACATCAACTTTGACTCAAGGGCATTAATTTAATTCAAAAATACATTTTTTTAAGTTTCTTTAAAGCTTTTAACATCATTCTACAATAATACATCAATGCCTGTAAGTCAGTATGAAATTTATACTGACACAAGTACATAGATAGTCTGTAATCTTACTGCTAAATCTAGAATGTGATAACAAATGTTTCCTGCACCCCCATTCAGGAAAGCATCCTGCTCAGAATTTTCCTGAAACACAAATGTTACTTTAAACTGAATTTGGGGTGGTCTATCTATGCTAAGTAACCTGTATAGTCCGTTTACATATGCTACTGTTTGGGTTTTTTTAACCAAACTGGAAATTAATGGACACGGGAGAAGCAACTGTTTGCTTTTATTCTCCAGTAGCGTACAAGAAAAACAGAAATCATTTAAATAAGCTTGACTTTATGTAACTTCAATAAATGGAAAAAACTTTCCATAGCTACAGTAGTTGTACCAAGAAAATGTACCTTTCTATCCTGAAAATCAGCAAAATTAGAGTTTCCAGTTGCCACAGTAAATTTAAGATGCAGTTAGTAGTGACATTAACAATGCTACGGTACCTTCCATGTGAGCTGAAAAGATCCTGATCCTGACTTTTTTTTTTTTAATCTCCTTATAACATCTAGACATGCAAGTAGCCTAATAAATTTAAAGTCAACATGGTGTGCACATGTAATGAACGCACACGTGTTAAGAATTAGAGCTATAATCTGTCTGATGGAGTCTTAAACTTCTTAACCTACTAAGATTAAGACTGGGTAAAAACAGTCTGCACGCGTATCAATAATCAGCTGACAAAATGTGTGAACTAGAAGCCCATGTAAGTAACTGAAACTGCGTTTTATCAAAGTCACAGTTTGAGGCCAGGATCAATGCCTGACTCCTGATTCTTGACTGTATTACTAATAACAATATTAGAAGACAAAAAAACATTGGCCACACTGAAGACCTTGAAAGTCCAGTGAAAGCAGAATTATACCCTCTCATATAAACTAATTACATCTAAACAAATTGTCTAAAACAAGAACATGTAAATGGATAAATATGCAAACCTGTGTACGATACATGTACTGGCCCCCGCAGACTTTATGCTGTCTCTCTTAATGACTCAAAAGCCATCATGGTTCTGTGAATAAGAGTGGACTTAATGAAAGCCATTTTAAATTTTAAAACTCCTTAAATTTTAAAACTTTTAAAAATCTGGTATTTTTAAATCTCAGAAAGGATGCAGAAATGACAGTTGAATCAAACTGTTCATTTCAGGTAATTCTGGGTTTACTGGACATTGTAGTATTTATGCGGGAGGTGCAGCTTTGAACAGGACCCACAAGATACAAAACCAAATCAAACCAGAGTTTCATCAAGAGCTTGTCTACATAGAAATGTCATTGGTATAATTACAGTAGGAGTCTTCCTTTCTGTATGTGTCTGCATACAGGGAGTTTATAAGGTAATATATTCCCTTTCTGGAATAGGGAATAAACAAATCATAAGGCACCTTTATAATAGTTTAAGTATGTCCACTCAAGATTTGTGCAACACAGCTACATGTGGTTGCAAGCCAACCAACCTCCTAATTTGCAATTACATGTCTACTGAAGTGCATATAGACAATGTTCTTGCATTCTCTCCTACACATAAGAAGCTTCACTTTACCACACCAGTGTTGAGGAAAATAAGCCAACAATGACATAAACCTGTGGCTTTAAACAACTGAACTTTTCGTATGTTTAAAAAACAACCGTAAACCAAAATATTTAGTGTCTTTTCTGGTAATGAAATGTATTGAACATAATGAAATGTCTTGTGCAATGAAATGTCTTTTGTGCAATGAAATGTGCAATGAATGAAACAATGACTGACTGAAATGGAACAAGCCAAACCAACCTTCTCTTTTCAAACCCTTTTGCATTGCCAGCTATACTCTGCTTCATTTGGCAAGCTTGCTGTTCTCTCAGGGCCGGTGGCAAGGCAGGCATGAGTGTGGCTAAAGTACTGATGTGATCTAGATCCATTTGGCTGGCAGATAGTCTAGTATAAACACTCTCTATATTACTGCATCCTGCACTTGGACACGGTTAACCACAGAATGTGAGAATTAACAACAGCTTCCTTGCAGTGCATCAGGTAATGTGTCACAAAGTATTCCTTCCATTGTTTTACCAGAAACTGAAATTCAACCCACGTAATATACAGACTTAGGCTCAAACCCAGCAGAGGTTTGACCTGGAAACATAAAGGCTATGGGTTTTCTCATCAGACATGTCTTTTGCAGCGACAGTCCAACATCTTGTCCCTGGCAGTACCTGAATGGATCCATACTGCCAAGACTTCTGTGGAACACCTGGACCCTGCTCCGTGGAAATACACAGCGGTCTTTGAATCTCACCCTGAATCTTTTTACTAGGTCCCATTGAAAGTACATCATCCCCAGCTTTCTACCGCTCACTTGTTTCTGTAGGCTCAATCCCTACAGTAAGAGACCCAGGACCTGGAGAACAATATTTGTAAAGTCTAGAGAGAAACCACAAGACAGATGACTCAACAGGAAGAGGAACAGGCATGCAGATTAAGTATCAGCTGTGAATGATTCCACTGAAAAATCTCTTTCATATTTTTTGAGCAGGAGGAAAATCATCAGCAGAGTTAATGAGTCAAAGAATATTCTTCAGTTTTGTCAAACAAGCTGTGTTCATTTTTTTGTGCAACTAGCTTTCAAGAGCTAGGAAATGAAATGTAGCGTACTCCAACAAAAATTAATCAAAACTAAACATGTAATCCAACAAGTATCTATGGAAGCTGTTTGCTTCAGGAGCAAATGCAGAATCTGCATAGCAATTCATATAAAGTTGGTCCGTGAATCAAAAAAGATGAGTCTCCTATATCCCAATAAGCAAAATCATAGCACTACATATTACTTGATTTTTTCACACACAAATCAGTGCAGATGCGTTAGTCACATGTATGAACATAATTAATACAAAAAGGAGAATTTATTTTGTACGTGCTGATCTCTTCTGAGACCAGCAGCTTTGCAGTCATGAGTGTTTCTTTCCTTAAGGAGGAAAGCAATATTTGTAACCAAGATGTCGGCATTTAAAGATTTCAGAACGTGTCACAGATAAAACTCTGCTTAAGCTTCTGATGTGCCTTCCCCATTCTCATGCGGTTGCAGCTGTTCTCTTTCTTGTTCTTCCTGAGGTGGTCTTACACGTTTGAAAAAGCCCATCTGCGATTCAGAGAAGAATAAAGAAATTGCAGTGTGATTTTCAAAATGTACATGCATACTTTCTCTTTCCTTCTTGATCAGATCTTAACTGATTAATTATTTGATTTTTTTCCCTCCTACTCTTTTTTCTTATTTTGGACTGCCAATGCCAAATAAATATCATCTGAAAAATTAAACTAATTCATCACAATCACAGACATCTTCTTTTACTTAACTTCTTCTGGACAAAGTGAAAAGTTTTTACAGTTATCCAAAAACTTAACTGATTCAGATGATTAGAGGACAAAGGTATTTCTGGAAGCTGCTGGTACTATTTGAAGTAATACATGACCAGTAAGGAAAAGAAAACAATGCAGAAAACCCAAATGCAGTACTTACCCTGTACATAACAAACACTAGAACAGCCAAGAGCAATAATCCTGCTAGGACAGCCAAAATTATAACCCACACTGGCACAGGCATAGGCTGTGGTTGAATGCCCCATGTAATATTTGTAGTAACCTAACAGAAAAACAAAATAAATCAGACTTTGCACAGGAGTGACATGCCAAGTTCATTCATGCAATTTAGGTCTTGTATATCTTTATTCTGTAGTGTTTAAAATAATCCACCATAAAATATCTTTTCTCTCCAATGTGAGTAAACAGCTGTAGAATAATAGTGACATAAAAGCTTCACTGATCCAAATTTAATAGAAATGTAAAAATTAAAACAGGGGTTTGAGTTTTTTTGTTTGTTTGCTTTTCAATCAGTGATACCATGGCTACATGTATTCTGTAATGCTTGATGATTTTCACTGAAACTGTAGGAATCTGGAAATATTTGGGAATTAAGAGAAAAATAATTCAGGGCTTTTCCTTTTTTTCTAAAAAGGCAGTACTTCTTGAAACAAAAATCAACTCTACAAGGCTTAGGAGAGAAAATAACAGTCATTAGAAACCATATTCAAAAAGAAATCAATCACAATCCTTTTCAACCACTTTAAGATCTTTTATGCTATAGAGCCTACCAAAACCTTTTAATTTGGCAGCCCAAATAAATGGCCTATACCTTCCTTTCTGTTTGCACCCTGTCTCCTTTCTCTCTGAAACCCTCTAGGGCACAGATGGTCTTTCTGTTCCACATTCACATCGTACTTCATATAATATAATAAAGCTCCATTATTCAAGCTCTAAATGCTACTATAGTAGGAGAGAATTTTCAAGTAATACATTTCTCAACAATGGCATTAATCCTAAAAACATTAGGATTATTCATTATTTTTTTCATTTTCAGTTAAGTCTTTAAAGCTACAAATATTGTTAACTCTAGTTTTAGGACAAAAATTTTTGTTTTACCCTCAGCTCTATGTGTCTAACTGAAATTAATATATGAATCAGGTATTTGATACAATTACAATTATATCAAGCCACATAAAAAAGCTACTTGACAATCATTGTTTTTATATTAATTTCAAAATATTTCAATGTATGGTAACTCAAGATGGACGTAAATGACTTACTACTGTAGAATTGTGGATATCTTCAAAGGAAAGGTTCTTATAGGGGAACTCTATAACATTGAAAGAAGCGGATGATTTGAGAGAATAGGAGTGATTCTGATTTTCTTTCTGTGTAAGAAAAAACAGATTTAGTACGGCATGTGGATACAAAAATCACTTTTTATGTTTCAGAAGCAGGGACAGAATATTCAGTCACTCACATTCATGAAAGTTTGGGTCCAAAGGCGTGACTTTAAATACAATATTGCACTCTTTCCCCTTTCTAGATGGCCAACTTGACAGACTATCTTTAAACAATCAGCAGTTCCACAGCCCTGCATATAAAAACAGGAATGATATTACAAATACAAAAATATTTGAGAAGTTATTAATGGTATTACTTTACTCATATACGTACTTTATTGTCCTCCTTCCCTGGCAAAGCACCATAAACTATTCAAATATATTAAATAACCCACAATATTGAATAATTACTTATGGTATCCCATAACCTTGCATTCAGAAAAATATTACATAAGCCACTTGGATCCCAAAGGTGAAACAGCTGTCAGTAGCTTTAAGGTATGTACTTCAGCTACGTAAGTAGGAAAAAATGTTGGAGGGTAGGGGGGCAGTTTCTGGTCAATTCAATTACCATCCTCCACATGTTTTTTGATAGGAAAGCTCACAGCAATTAACTGCACTTGGCGCCAACAAAACATGCTTTGTTGCATTCAGTGGAAGTCTTTAAATTTAACTGACTTTATCTATAAGCCATACTTAGGACTACAGCAGTTCAACTGGCCTTCCTCAACCACATTTCCATTAAAATCCATCACATAATATTGATACCAAACGATTAGTATTTCAAAAACAAAGCAGAGCAAAACAAGGCTTCATTTTATAATTGTGATTTTAGCTCTACTACAGATAAAAGCATTGTAAAGTGTAGGGACATCTGACCGTGTAAGTACAACTCAGTTCAATTATTATGAATATTGGATATTAGTCTCTGGGGTGAAATCCTGCTAAGTCATTGGGAAAGTCTGGCAAAAACCAAACCCTCAAAAAACCAAAACTTTAGAACTGCATTTTTATATGCTGAAAAGCTTTTGCAGTTTATATCTAAAAAAAAAACCCCAAAACCAACAACCTTTTCTCACCATAAGAAATTAATTCCTATTTTCACTTTCTTTGCTCAACCCTTTTTTTGTCCTCTCCAAAGCCTAAATGTTTCTGGAATCAGGGTTGTACTGCCATAGCCCTGCTGGTCCCCCCTAAACTCCCAAGAATTTCTCTCAGCTCCCCATGTGTCCTGCCTTGCCCAAAGCAGCAATAGGTTCATGTCTGCAAGCGCAGTTAACAAAAACACTGATACAGAAATATATTTACTTTTTATTACAGATTATTTCTCATCTTTGATGGTCCTCCATGTGTCTGACTGCAGAATATCCACTGATCAACTAGGAAACACATGTTGTGGAATCAACTGTAATTTGTAGCAAAGATGATGACTGCAGCACTCACCTGCTTCCTTTCAGTTACCTTATTTTACCAGTCTTCTTCCTATGAAGTACTGATTTTCAATTTCAGAGAATAACACAATATAGAAGAGACTGACATTGCATGAAGTGCCCAACTTGACCTGTGTTTTTAAGGACTTCAAACAGCACAAAACTATAGGCTTATGGCTCCCTGGCTGACTACCCCAAGGAAAAGTGATGCACATTGGAAAAGAAAAAAAACACAAAACAGCTCCAGAGCATAAGACTTTCTTGTCTGTTAATCATTTAAATACAGAACATGGATTTTCTGAAATGATTCTTCATCTCATGAAGCGTTCATCTCCATCTTCATTTTTAAAAAAATGAAAATACAATCAACACATTAATGCTGAGAGCTTACCAAAGTATGCACATCTCCTTCGACAGCAGTTACATCCCTTTGACTGATACGATGATCACGATTATCTTCCCTGATAAGTGTTTCATTCTTATCATCATCTTTAGAAGCCGAAATCTAGGATACACCAAGAAAGCCCAAATAATAAGTAATTCTTACATTTAGATTATTTGTAGACTTGAAAGTCAAAGTCAAGAAAAGATATAACTGATCAGGTTTCTCTCCCTCTGTCTTAGCTGTTCTTCAGAACCTGGCTTTACCTACAGCTGTAATTAAAATGTTACTCCTGCCTTTTCTAGAGGAAATTTGTATTTATATATTCACTAAAGTTGCTTTGTGATTATCAAAAATACACAAGTATTCTTTGTTTTTCTATACACTGAATATCTTCCCTTAGTCTTTTTATACATATGTTTGCTTCAGTTCTCCTAGAACTAATATACGATTTTTACTTCTTGTTCTAAACTGTCTTAGAATTCAGCTCTCTGCTCTCAAACTTGCTGGGTTTTGTCTGTGTTTCTTTGTCTAGTGCAACGTAGAAAGAAGGAGTTTCTTCTGCTCTGTGCTCTGCAAACTACACGTTTTGCTGGCAGTGATAGCATACATACAAGCCCTACTAAAACACCCCTGCTGACCTCTGTGGCATTTGGATGAGGGCCTAGATAAATAAGGTAGTAACAGAAAAAATAACACCATTTTCTTTCAAGACACAAACCCCATAAAATTTACATAAACAGTCCAGAAAGCATCTGGAAAGTTTTTGTTCAGTCAATTCCATTGCTTTGGACTTAAAACTCATACAGTACAGTCTTGAAGAAAAAGAAAAAAACCAACAAAACCACCATAACTAAAAGAAACAAGACAAATTTATCTTTGAGTTGGCAATCTACTTTTTTTTTTCCACCTGCTATATACATTGACAAATGCTATCAAACAGTGCAGTCTTGTTCCTCAGAAACAGATGAAAACTTAACTCAGTGTTAGATATTTCCAGGGATTTGGGTATTCTGAGTGTGTTTCCAAAACAAACAAACATACTTCATTCCATGCGAACATAAGCAAAGTCCTTCTTACCTTAATTTTCAATGGATTGATTTCCATATCCGAAGTGCAATTCATGGGACCATCAATTTCATACTGAACAATATACAACAGGGTGTAGTTTTTGTATTTGTAAGGCCACTGCACAGTCATCATCACCTTGCTGAATGCACTTGGACCATTGTTTCTCAGCTGATTATGAAAATAAAGTTAACATGTAAAAAACCCCATGTCACCTTCTTTGTTAATGTGAATATAGTTGTTTTATATTTGAGCCATAGATGATACTGCTGCTACCTCAACCACTTATGACAGTAGCATTGACAACTTTACCTAAAAGTGGTAGCTAAACTTCAGTTCCCCCAACAGACAAAACTTAAAATTACTTCTGTAATTTGATAAAAATTACTTCAAATAAAAGCTATATAGCATTACAGTTTTTTGCCTTGAAGAAATGCAAATTTTTTTTCCTTGAAAAAAATGTATTCTTTTTCTAGTCTATTGGATGAATCACAGCCACTGTATGTGTCTCAGCCAAGATAGTCTGAGCACAGATACATAAGTTTTGTTAGATAAATGTTCCCTTAAGTTCTAGAACAACTTTTAACTATTATTCACACAGCACTCTCAGTAAGTCTTGTTTAATTAAACAATCTAGATTAAAGCTGTGATCATTCTTTTAAGGACATTTTAAATAGTTAAAATGTTTCAAGGCAAAAAATTTTACAATAATGATTCAGAACAGTTGGACTACAGATGAGGATACTAAATAATTTACAGCCATAAGTAATTTTCTGAGTTCAAGTTACTTCAAATGTTTTAGCCTAGATTTCAGAGGGCTAGAAAATAAAATATATGTAATGATGTAAAAAATCATCCTCTTTATGTGGCTACTCCTGCTACACTAATTGCAGGCATTCCATCCCTTCTTGCAGATAACAATTATTGACTCAGCATTAAAAAAAAACCCAAACAAATAAATCTTTATTTCCATGAAAGTACAAAATGAAGAAAAAAATTTATCATTTACTCCAGAGAAAGCTACACCAAAAAATTTCTTTTCATTTATCACAGAACTATGTAATTGAAATTAGCAGTAATTGCATACCTCATAGATATGTTGAACTAGAGGCCCAATATCATCTTCTGTTTCAGGATTATCCTTTGGCTGCCAGTTTGCAATAGGAAGGAATATGTGATCAGGAGATGACACACTAAACAGCAGAGCAAACAAGTCGTTATTTTAAAGTTTGAAATGATAAATGTAATTCTCTAGAACATTAAAAAAAAAAATCAACACGCTTAAAATACAACCTCCAGTTTTTCATCCACTGTATATAAAACCAGAAAGAACAGATTTTGAGTGGCTTGTATACTAAATGTTCAGTTTTCTTCTCTACATGAAAAGATGAACTTTGTATTTAGAAACATTTTTTTCCTCTCCTAAACTTCGGATTCATCCTACAGTATCTAGTAAACTATTAATACAGTCAAGATACATACATGTCATCCAAAAATACAGAGTGTGAAATACTTTGATAATGAGAAATATTGATGATGTTGAGAATAATCAGCACAGTCATAAGAATAATTCAGCATGCACTGAAAACCTCAAAGCTAGCAATAATGCTTTTCAGCTGTGTCATCCCTGCATGTCTCAGATATTAACAAAGTTAGATCACAATAATCAATGTAGTGGAAATTTTAAAGAATTATGAGTTGGGAATCTGAGTTAACTGGCTAAGCAAGAGGACTGTATAACTTCTATGTGTGAAGTATAGATTTCTGATAAGCAGAGTAATGGAGGTAATGGAGACACTACAATATTAATACTATGCTTAAGACTGAAGAAGGTGAAGGCACTGCAAATTTATCTTCAATAGGATTTTCACTTTTAGAAAATGCATCAAAGGTTTTTGGGTAAAAATACAGTCGGTTTGTGGAGGAGGAAAGTGAGCTGGAGAAACGTGTGCAACTGCAAAAATGAGAGGCTCTTTTTTTCTTCTTCTAAAAACACCTCTAGTAATAGAGGTACAATATTCCATTTTGGAATTAATTTTGTAACTATTTGGAATTATTTAAAATCCGAAAGTCCAAAGGGTGGCTAGAGAGAACCGTATTTTCTTTATGATTAAAAATTCCCCAAGGCTTCCTGAAAACTTACGCAGACCTGAAAAAGTTCATTGAATATGAAGATGCAAACATACAAATCTCATTTAAGAAAGATGTTTATCAAAATAGTATCAGTGCTTACCCTCTAATTTCAACAGCTGCTAAAATAGCAAGGTCAGCCTGATAGAATGCTACTGGACTTAGATTGTCATACAGGTTGGAACTGCAGAGAAAATAAAAGTTAATTTCTTACATGAAATAAGCAAAGTATTAAAAACAACCCAACTTTAACATAATTGTATATAACATCACAAAATTATTCTCGAGCCACTGTAGGAAAGCACATTTACTAAAAACCAAGGAGCAGATTCCAGCAAGTTCTCACTAAAACGCATGACAGTCCCACCCCCAGTGCAGTTTGGAGGTCCCTCAGCAGGGAGAAGTCAATAAAGGACACAAATCTAATGCTGCCTCTGTTCCTTAGCTGCCACATATAAAAAAACTCAAATGCCAGTACTGTGGGTTATCACCAACTATACAGCTAGCAAGACCTTAAGTTCCACTTTAGGGCATCTGTTTTGCTCAGGGACTTGTTGGCCTCTAACTAGTCCCAGGGCAGAAAAGTATGCTAGGACTACTACCCCTCTTCAGTGCTTAAACCAGTAAGTGAATACAGTTAGTATCTGATTTCTATACTTCAGATACACCAAGAGATGATAGATATTAATGCATATAGAGTCTTTCATAGATAAAATTTATTTGGACTTCCTTTGTATATGGAGAAAAAGAAATAGAGAACACTCCTATCGCCCTCAGAGTGGAGCCAGGAACAGAATCCTGGTCTCCTTAGACACATGTGATTATTCTGTCTATCTAACCAAACAATTTCCTTTAGAAAGTTCTTCTTAAATCCTCTAACAACTCCTCAGTGCTGCTGTAATCAAAAAAGACATTCAACAGTGTGTTCTTCCAGACCTGTAAATTCCAGAGACTAGAGTCATTCTGCTAGGAATCGTGTCAGCTTCAGAAATCTAGCTTTGTGAGTTTAAGACAACTAATGTGATCTTTAAAACCTCTTCAAGATAATACCTTGATAATGCCTAGCACTATGAACTGCGAGTACCATGCTCGATTGCATCACTGATCTTGCATTCAGAAGTCCTTCCATAAAAGCCATAAAATGTTACAGAAATGTCCTTTCTCTTCCATCAGAAGAGCACGACTTAACAAATATCACTGACTGATTTTTCTCCCAGTGAAAGCTGGTTACTGACTGGCCGCTGTCAGCCCAAGGAAGACGACAGACACCCCAGAGAAGATCCTGCACTTCCTTTAAAAAGAAACGGAGTCACATGCCACTGGCACAGTTTACTAGCTGATGGAGAGGAGAGAAAAAAATTGAACAGCCAGCCATGTGAGATCAAAGAGATATTTAATGCTGCCTAGGCCTTTGATCACTATGGCAAACCCCTATATCATTAAAATAGAATGGCAGGTTTAAACTTACTTAACTCTTGTAGATGAGATAAGCATTTGTGGATGAGAATAATTTATTCACTATATTAAAGAAAAATGAAGTCCTTAAATGGAAAAATATCTTTTGGTCCACCATGGGGAAGAAAAAGCAGCTTTATTTGCACTGTCCATTAAGCAACATAAAACTGTATTGGGTAGAGAGATTCCTATTGATCACATCTCAAATTTTAAATAATATCTCCAGTAGGTATAAATTCAAATTTATATATCATATTTATATGAAAGTGCCATGCTCATCTTATAATTGACAGGAACACTACTGTTTTGTTCCATTTCATTTTTAGACTCTTATGCTGGCTACTGTAAAACACTTAAAATGGAACACTGCATGCTGCTTCTGCTCAGACCATCACATGCATTGACTTTTCTGAAAGACTTCTATCTCTCATCCTCAAAATACATAAAATTTGAAATTCTGGCTTTACAACAGAAGGAATTAAAAGTTCAAACATCAGTTTTAAAACAGGGCTAGAAACTCAAAGACACAAGTCATTCTGTGGCATTGCACAAGTATCAGGAGATCACAACAGTATGCAGGTGTTTCTTGAAACACTTTAAATAGTTTTGTTCCCCATTATTAGTATTTCACTCGTGGTATGACCAGTCTAAAAGCTGTAAGCAAAAGAAACTCCATTCAAACAGAAAGCTTTGTTTTCTTCTATTTTTTCCTCTATTTTAGAAAATGTAATTAATTAAAAAGATGTGGGTTTTTAAAAATAATTACAAGGCGAAGACCAGAGAATTAGTCCAGACTGAAACTGTGTAGTTTACAGCCTGTTTATTTAGCATCTTCTCTACCAGGTGAGGTACACACTCATAGATCTCCGTACCTTCGGATTTGCAAGTCAAACTTCACAGAGGTATCCATTTCAGACTGCTGGTGCACGCTGAAACGCAGGCCAGCCAATAGCTTCAGAAAAAAAATTACTGTGGTTCAGTGGAAGCACAATAAAATATACAACAAAAGCTTCTTTATACTATCATACTACAACAACAAAATTGCTTGAGGCTCATGGTCATAAGAGAACATACACCAAAAACTGGCAAATAAAAATTGTCCAGTTCATCGGGACTATAAACATACCGTGCTCTCTGTAGATTTCAGCCAATGCATCACTGCCACAAAATGGAAATGTAAGGTTTACATTATGCTAACCTCCCTTGTTTCAGCCATTTTTACACATAACTGAGCCTCCCTACATGTTGTAAAAAGTACTGTAGCCTAAAGAACAGTGCACACAATGATTCTAAATTCAGTTCCCAAGGTTTGTTCTAAGCCAGTGCATGATAGTTGCTGCAACATCTGTACAGTTCAGCTTTGAAAGTACAGTTCGTACTTTGAAAGCCTTGAGAAATAGCATTTATTCATCCATACAAAGTGTCTCTTGAAGGAAAAGCACCAAAGTTCACAATTACGACTGATTTAACTTTTTTTCCTCAAAAAAAAAAAAAAGACATTAGGTCATATCATCTTAATATCTGCCAGGCCCCACTAATAGTATTTTTTTAAATTCCTCCAATTTCAGCTACATTTGGTGAAAGGGCAAAGGTCTCAACTAGACCAAACTCTGCTCAAACTTCACAAAACTAGGCAGAAGAGAGAAGCACTATTAGATTTCCACTAAGAGAAAGGTGTGTTACAGACTAGCTCTTTATTATATGCTAAAAAATATGTATCAATCTAAAGACAAACTCACGAGGGACCAGAGTACTTTAATTCCACTGTTTAATGAACTACTTCTCTTGAGTTGCATCATAAAACTCATGAACACTTCTTTCAGCCTTTAATTTACCTATAAAGTTGAAACCAATTACCACTGAACTAATTAAACATGTGGGCATCTAAATGTCAGCTAAATTTAATCCTATGTGTAAACATCCTGCCCAAACACTACTGCAATTAAGAAAAATGGACTCCAGTTTGAGCTACTGGACACCTGTTTGACCAAACCTTACCTTAGTTCCTGCTTTCATGGGATTTCCCAGGTCACAAACTACCATGCGAGTTTGATTCTCTGTTTTAAATGCACATGACAGTCTTGCTAAAGCCTGCATTAAACGAGAAAGAAATATTAAGGAATGTCACTCCTTACATCTGGACACCTGTATGAAAGCCTGGAGAAAAGTTCTAGATACACTGTCTTAATTTTAACATAATTGCTCAGTCCTAACACAGTCAAGCACTAAAATTAAATAAAATCTTGATTATGAAAGTCTCCATGGAGACAAATATTTTTGATATGACATGGAAGCTCTTTTCAAGGTTATAAAAAGATAAATTCAACACACTTATATTGGGTAGCATTGATGATTTTTGTGACCTAAAGCATTTCTTCACGTGATTCGTTAAAACCTACATAAAGAAACTTTGACAATCAGGTAAATTCTCCATAGAAAAATAGATTGGAAGGCAAAATAACATGAATACTTACTAACTTACTCAAAAAGAGGTTTTAGAGGAGATATCAGATTTTGGATAAAGCCAGATCACAAAGCTCTAGAGTAGCAGGCAAAATGGAGAACCAAACCAAGGCATCGTCCAACATATAGGAAGGATATGGTATCAAAGTTGGAATCTTTTGATACAGGGGGAAAATAATTTCCCCGCTTAACATTCTGCAACTTTACAGACACGTTGACTGATCATAGCTTACAGTCAGTAAAAACAAAGATGAAGCAAATGAGAAAGTATATTACTTATATATAGGTATAATGGGCTATAAAAGGAAAGTCAGGGAATAAGCTTTAATATTCTGTGTAGTCAGGATAAATGACACCCAAGACTTTCTACATACTTAGGTGGAGGAGACTAGCAATACCCAACATCACTTTTTGCCTCACAGGTGCCCAGCTCTTTACCTAGCACATGACATGCTAAATCAAAATTTAAATAAATTAACAAGGGTACTGTTCAAATAAAGACTTGTAGCAGATAAACTCTGTGTCAATCACACAGATGATTCTCCTTTGTTGATAGCAGTAGGCTCTTGAATTGAAGCCATCCAGCCAGCTGTTATATAGCCTTGGGGCTTGGAAGAACCTTATTTTTTTGGTGCTTTACTTTCAGATTGAAGCATAAAACCCACCAGTGACAGACCCTCCCCCACAGACTTCCAAAGCAGCACCTGAAATACGACTACTTAAAGAAGAAAAATAATTGGAATTTTACCTCGTTGTTACGAACAACACCGATGAAATCTGCTTCGGGCGGAACGATGACAAAGAGTTCTGCTTCGTAGGCTCCTTCCCCTTGATTCTGCGCATTGACAATTAGTGTCAAGGGATTGTCATCACCAATATAGATCTGCTTCTGATCACTACAAAACACAAGTGTAAAAATGAGCTCTGCATTCAGCTTTCAAAGTGTATTGAACTGGTTGAACTTATAGAAACAAAAGACATTCTGAAATTGCACAGACAGTAGAGAAATCTGGAGGCAGTACACATTCTTCGGGAGTATCAGAAGTCTGCACTACGTTTAAAACAAAAACATGTCTATAATTACAAAAATGGAGCAAATATTACATGCTGTTTGGTAAGAATCTTTTTTATTAAATTTAAAATAAACCACAAAACCACCAACACTTTTTTTAACAAAGGACAAACAATTATGAGCAGCTAAATCACTGTGTACATTTTGAATTACATGCCTACTTAGCAGAGGCACAACCACCCATTTATAAAAAAAAACTGATGAAAGGCTAAGTTACAGAATACAGCTAAGACCTCTGTAATACATTTGTTTCAGATACAAAAATAGTATCTTTCTAAACAAGGTATTTTCATTTCACCAACTACAAGGAAACCTAACTGTACCTGCACCGATGTTTAATGTTTCTAAAGCATTTGCACAAATTGGTATGCTTGTGAACTGTACTACTTACATGCCTGGGCATATGCTATAGCTCTGCACTAAGGGCATAAAAAAACCCCAACCAAAACAGCTGACAGTTGTAAGTAGAGATAATACACTAAGAATGGCTTTCAGGCATAGAAAGCATAAAAAGCCCAGACTCACAAAACTTAGTTAAAACTTGTTTCTTTTTCCCAGGTTTAATAAAAGATATTACTAATATCAATATTTTTTTCGTATGTGTGACAACACAGTCCTACTCCACCTGGATAAAATCATGCCTGTTCATGTCTTCAAGTGTCTGTCTAGTATAAAATAACAGAACAGTGGTACAATTGCAGCTAACACTGGGTTATGCTTGCTATGCATGTCCATCTTTGCAAATATACAAATAAATACTGTGTACTTACAGTGGGGGCTGGGGTGGGGGTGAGAATGTGTGCTCTCCCTGTATTACATGCTAAAGACATTAGGTTACAAAGCAGAGAACGGATTTTCCTTAAAACAAATAAGTATCAGTTTAGATTGTATACACTGAGGAGTCCTACTTATTTCCATACATCCTTTTAAGAAAAAGTATTACAAGCTCTTCAAGTTTAGAATTCAAGTAGGGAAGTTAGTTTTCCCTGCATTATTTTCCCAATGTATTTACCTTTCTACAGAAACCTCCAGCTTTGGTTTGCAAATATTATCATCACCACAATCCAGCAGAATATGTGCCTGCACAAAAATGAAATGGATAGTGTTGTAATAATTCCTGTATGTGTTCTAACATACATTTCCAATAATACTGTTTCACCACCAAATTAAAAAAAAATTTCTAAATAGCTGGTTATGAGATATTTTCACCTCATTACTCTCAGAAGAGATCAAATGAGCTTTTAGGTATAGGGGGCACTGTGCCTCATCCTGACACACTGTAATTCTAGGACTGATGTCTACACACCTTAATTGTCTTTCCAGACTTCGAATTATCTGTTCATCTTGACTTGCATTCCCACTACCCTTTTTGCAAAGAAGTTTAAATATTTGTAAAGGGCAGAAATACAAGAACTATGTTTATTACCTTAAGAGAACTACAGGGATAAAAAGAATATACAGAGCAGCATAGTATGAGCAATGGATGAAACATTACAACCCTTCAAGATTAATACCTTCAATACTACCCTAACTGCTTTTTTCCAGAAAACTATTAATTAGTATGCATAAAAAGGAAGTCCAGCACTAAGGAATAACATGTCAAAAAAGAAATTTGACACAGAGAGAAGGAAAAAAGACATACATACAAAACCCATTAATATTTCCATAATTCAAAGGCTAAATCCTAGGTGTATATTTTGGTATCTTAATTTTTCAGAAGTCCTAAAGTGAACATAATTACTAAGTACTGAAAGCTGAAAATATGTTCTGGGTTCTCTCATCATAGATTATGTAAGTATACCTGTCTGCTCATATTAGCAGGAGTGAACTGGTTGAGGATAGGGTGCAATCCTGTTGCATCTGCAGCTGTTCTGTAATCCAGACGATATTCCATAAAAATTGTAATGGGAGTTAGTTTGTCCCTAAATTCTGATTCATCCTGGGGAAACCAAAGATTTGAATTGTAATTAAAACAACAAAAATACCCTTTAAAAGTCTCTATAGGCAACAAGTAGCCATCCCAAGAGCAATACTGAGTAGTATTTTTATTTATTGTTCATGTTGTAGTAGGAATGAGGAAGCCAAAACAACATTAAAACTTCTGTGCATTTTCTAAACTAGAAAATCTCTTGTCAGAACATCTGCTGTGTAAGCTTTGAAGATGGTCAATTTAAGTAGTAAAATGCCTGTTTAACAAATGGAAAACCAGAGCATACAGAAGTATTAAGTCATAGAACTATAACAGCAAGAAGCCTAAAGGGCTATACGATGCCGCTCTTTCCTGTCAAACAAAATTCAGTATGCTTCTAAGTTCCCTCAAACATACTAATCTTTGGACTTGTGATTCCTCCTTCCTAAAATTATTACTTTGCACTTAAGAGTTGCTGACTTTCATATTGTTCATTCCAAATCATTCTGTTTATCAAATGCTGATCCTGCTTTTCAGAGAACTTACAAACCATGTCTTAGCTTGATGTTAGCCACAGATTTTATTAGTGAAATATAATGAAACACAATGAAAATTATTGAATCTAGAACAGCTCATTGCAAGATCTTCAGAAGCTCTCTTACTTCAGAAGCTCTCTTCTGTGGGCAGAAACTTACTGTTTTCAACAGGGTTTGCATGACATTTAAGGTAATTTCGTCTAGATCATGTGTTAATTCTTTATGCGAACATCAGGTGGAAGTGTTAAAGCTTTATTGACACTGAGATCTGGGATGTCTATTTCCACTCAAAAGGCCAGTCAAAGAAACATACTACCTATCCCCCATGAATCCATAATGATTACTTAATTATTTTTATTGTGGGGTTTTTTTGAGAGGTAAGTATTTTTAATGTTTGATTTATAAGTACTCAGATATAAATCTGAGCTGCATCTAACTTACACAGTCAGTGTTTCTTCTACTGGATTACACTTTTTAATTGTTAGCACCTGTCCACACTTGTGAGGACTATAAAAAAAAAGACTGAGAAAAAGTAAACTTAATATTTCAACCTTCTCTGTCTCCTCTGTTATTTGCTGTACTCTGCTTTTTAGTTATACACTCATATTTTTATTTATTCATTTACCTCCAAAGGAGAAATGCAACCTCCACTTATTGACTTTCATGTTCCTTGGAAATTGTAACTAATTTTGTGCCTAGATGACTTGTCTAAGAAGTCCATAACAAAGTTCAGAATTGAATTTCCAGTCCATTTAGTGACCAGGACCGTAGTCATAATAATATCCACTATTAATCCTCTGGCATTAGTGATACACCAGGAGGCACATATAGTTTCAGTAATTTTACGTCTATCCATTAGGCATGGTTTCTCTAGCATTTTTTTTTCTAAAACATCTGCAGGAATACAACAGAAAATTGACAAGGATTGTTAAACATGCTCAAGTGACTTGCAGCTGGGGTGTCAAAAAACACATACATCATACTAATTTTTGTTTAGGTTTGTGGTCTTGATGGTAGAATGTCTGTGTTTAGGTAAGACAGGCCTGTGAGAGACTCAAAAGCACCTTATGGAACATCCTTGAGATTCCTGCCCTGCTGTGGTAAAGAGCAAAGCACTGTGGAAATCTACACCTGCAAAAATCCCTGATATAAACAGGCAAAAGCAGCAGGGTCGAGATCTCTTCTTTCTTCTCCTCTTTCTGGCTAGCAAGGACCAAGCTCCATGATGTTGGCATCCCTGCTTGCATGCCTCTCCCTGGGTGCTACTGCGGAGATCTCCCAGGTCACAAGGTAACAAGAATAAATTTACTCTTTGCATTTCATCCGTGATTTTGTAGTTGTTCCTGCGTCCTGCCTGTGTTGGCTCACACATTACCTAACACAAGGAACTTGTAACATACAACACACCAAAAACTACCTGCCTAAAAGGTAAATGGCTACTTACCCTCAAAAAGGCATCAAGTTCTTCACAATTCATTTTGCCCCCCTTTGTAATAGTCATGTTCTTAGAGTGGCTAGGCTGTTTGCTGTGGAGAAAGAGAGCCCTCCTTATAGCTCCTTTCTGCTTAAGTTTATCCAACAGCAGCTCCACTTGGAAATCTGTCCAATTCAAAGCATTTAGGTTAGGGATATTTCATTCAATTAAACACAGTGCAGATTCTCATCAGAAATGGAGCTGAACATTGATTTCAGCTACAATGAAAACCTAGTACTTGGAACTTTTTAAATTTCCATATAAAAACTGTGACTACATTAGTTCTCAAAACATTAACTAACAAGCACTGCTGTTGTCCTAAATTGGACTCCGCTTTTTCCCTTAAAAATTGGAAATATATAAGAACACTGATACATTTGTAATAATTGCTAAAGAACTGCAAGAACAAAAGTTAGATTTTTTTCTCCCCAAAAATGTTAAAGCAATCTTGCATATATTTAACTGCATTGCTAATCTAATTACTTCAAATATTTGATATAACAGATATTGATATGAATCTTCCCAGATCATACCACCTCTATACGTGCCATACAGAAAATAAGGAAAAGCTTTTATAATCAGTAAACAAAACCTGATTGTAGCAGGTTGTCTGCCACACCACAAAATGTCTTAGACACAACTTAGAAACATGTTTGAAACAATCTCTTCCTGATTCTGATCCAGAGAATCTGATTAAAAAAATCAGTAATATCAATCATGATTTCAACAGAAAGGTGAAAAGTCCCTTGTGGCTTGTCTGTATTTTTCAGGTTTAACAATGCACATACTTGAACATTCTTGTTTAAAACTCCCCTCAACAAGAGTAGATCTCAATTCTGTAAAATACAAAGGACTTTCCAAGACTAGTTCTACCAAGTGGTTAAACATTTGCTTAAAGTCCCAAGTATGCTCAATCCCACTGACATCAACACAACTTCAGCAAAAAAAACTGTAGAAGACAGTCAGATAGATGTATATGGTTACTGAGCTGGTAGGATTGTGTTGTGAAGGGTAACCAGCTGTTTCAATAATGAAGGACAATAACCAGTGCTTATGCCTGCAAACCACATAAGACTAAAGTTTTTAAACTAGCAGAACTTACTGAGTGTATCAGGAAGCTTTCCTTTGCCATCCGCTTTTAAGCAGAACTTTACTTTGAAGCTGTTTTGAAGGAAAATAAAATATTAATTTCACATACTATCACTCATTTTCTTCTGAAATTCTCTACTGTTTTTCTTAGTTCAAGGGTATTCTTTTTTGAGACTCACTCACTCCCAACAGCTATTTTCTACTGGTGGAAGAAAAACTATAACCTATTAATAAGTAGACAACAATGCAAGGCTTTGGAGCCTTGATTCATTTAGGAACAGTCACCTGCAAATCAGAGTGTTGTTTCCTGAAATCAAATATGGCTTATTTATTTTTAAAACTAGAAGGAACTGGGTTACTGAACTGAAAAGGAAGTTAGCTCTAGAAAGGAACAGTGGGTTTGGATAATAGTCCCGGAACAAGAACCAAAACCAGTTTACAGAGCAGATAATTTCCCAAGTGTTTTCCAAAAGCCCACCTAAAAAGTAAGTTAATGGGTAAAACCAATGGAAAAGCTATGATCTACTCTGCTCAATAGGCAACTGTCAATCTCTGCATGTAGGATGTAATCTCGGAGTCAGTCTAGTGTGTACTGAAGATAATGCTGGTCCTTCCACTGTTCAAGAGTTCTTATTTTTTATTGTCTGTTCTTTCAGAGAAATCTGTGTTTGACTGCCTTTTTTTAATTCGTTGACTAGACTTCCTGAATCCTTATGAAAATAAAAACCAAAAAAAGGCCCTCCCCTCAAAGGAAAACCAAGATACTCTGCTTACCAAGAAACTTTTACATCTGACAGTGAACAGGCTTTGTTTTCTGGATTTAGAATGGTTGGATTAACTTCCAGGGCAGCATTTACTCTAATAACTGGTCTAGCCCTGCAAAGAAAGCATCCTCTTGAACAGCATTCAACAGCATGTTAGACAATCCCCTCCCCATAAAATTGTGAAATATACATATAGACACTTACACAATATTTAGTGAAACTGCAAGAATAACAAATAATCACGGAGTAGATTAAGGAAAAGCAGGAAGTTTCTCTGTGCCCCTTCATTGCCATCAGTCAGAGGACATGGACAGTTGTGTTAAGAGGAAGTGTCATCTATTTCTAGCACAGATAAATAAGGTATTTTCCCTAAAATGAGCAAGTTTGCATGAGAATATCAGGATTGCAGTGTAATAGCTAGCAGCACACTGTGTATGTCAGAATCTAGAAAACTGTCACTCAGCATTTAAGACAACTTATTTATATTTTCTCAACTATAAATTTTTGAGAAGGATAAATAATAGATAGCAGACTAGATTTACTCAGTGAAAACACCCATATAACTTTTTTTAACTCCAGCAGTTTGGAAGGTGGAGTGACAGAATTTTAGACTTCCCTGATCCTGCTTTCTTTTGTAACTCAAGAATGCTGCTGAGCTTTCATTCTGCTGGCACTTGTGAAAAAGCATAGAGGGATACTTACCTATACAGAACAGCTGTGTCAACACCAAAGGCTCCAACAATCAAGTCTAGAAAGAAATGAGAAATATTACACATTCCAATTTATTTTTTCAATATATGCTGTTAGTCAGAGGAGGGGGTACCATTAAGTTATTCTAAAGTGACATTTAGAGCAAAGGACCTGGATATCCATTTTTGTCCACATCTGTGGCTCCTTTCAGTGAGTACCCAAAACTGGGTGGCATGGTGCGAGCGGCCCACTGCCCTTCAAGAATTTGAGATGGGACTGCATTCAAACCATTTGCTCTTCCATTGTAGATGTAGACAAGTCCTCTCTTGTCCTCTCCACCATATGGTGCAGCAACTGCAATATCTGTAAACCAAATGAACAATTGTCAACATCTCCAGGCACAGACTAGGAGAACACATTTGTGCTTGTATCAATCAATAGTTTCTGATATTACAGTTTCAATGTGTGTCAGTAGGGAGAAAAATGCAACTGGCCTTTAAAATGCTCATCAACAACATTTTTTTCTTTTCATTGGATGCTGGTTTTTCTGGAAAGTATAAATGTTTAACAAGAACATACATCATAGACTTGTGGGGGGGGGAGGAGGGAAAGGAATAGTTCTGCAAACACGTCTGCGCTTCAGTAACTGACTTAAAGCCAAATCATATGGATTTGAGATGCTTTTGAGAGTATAAAACACCCAGAGTTAGTCACTGTTGGCACCAAATGACAAAACTCAGTGAGGCTATCTGCGCATTTCATTAACACACTCATGTTCCTCCAAAGGGTGTGGCACTTTATAAATTCTCAAAAATTTAAATCAGCCTAAAACAATGGTAAATATCAAATTCCAGTCTAACCTGATCATGGCTTGGCAAAATGTTATATGGAGAACTTTCAGTTAGTGCAATTATGCTATCTCTTAAAGCTTAATTTATTTGAGAGTACTCATTGTCAATGATAATAAACAGTAATAAACAAAATGCTAATTGGGCTATCTTTAAGGACAGCTTCAGACACGTGAGCTAATTTCAACATTTCCACAGTCAGTTCAAAGACCAAACATGAAACACTATACAGAGCAATTACATGGCTCCTTCCTCTTTCATTAAATTTGAGAAAGTTTCATGACAAGATCAAGGACTCAAAGGTTTACCATTTTATATTTTTGACTTGTTTTAACAAACTTTATGAAAACGGTACAAATTCCAATCTTACACCATACTGTGATGGAAAGCATTTTAATTAACACTCCCAAAATGAAACAGAGCAGGAAAAGACAAAAAAATCAGACTAAATAATGGCAAGGTAATTAAAAATAGGCAGCTTCTGCTATGATTTTCTCACATGCGGCATATTTCAGATTGAAATATCATAGAATCAAAGTATTTTTTGGATAATCTCATGTATTGACCAGATTTTTGGCTATCAGCTGTAACCTTTCCAATGTCTTCTAAAACAGTTGCAGCGATACTGCATCTTCTCACTAGATCTATATACTATTAGCAGCTAAAAAGGTTCCTTCCAACCCAAACTATTCTATGATTCTAAGATTTCATTTCAAAAATAAACTGGAGCTACATGGGAATTGAAATATTAGCTGATTTTAACTTTAGATCTTTCAGAAAATCCTTTGCTTGCCAAGCAGAATGGAAAAACCAAAAATGAGCATTTTTTGCAAAGTCAAATTCACAGAATCACGGAATTATCTATGTTGGAAAAGACCTTGAAGATCATCCAGTCCAACCGTTAACCTAACATTGACAGTTCCCAACTACACCAGATCCCTCAGTGCTATGTTGACCCGACTCTTAAACACCTCCAGGGATGGGGACTCCACCACCTCCCTGGGCAGCCCATTCCAACGCCTAACAGCCCATTCTGTAAAGAAATACTTCCTAGTATCTAGTCTAAACTTTCCCTGGTGCAACTTGAGGCCATTACCTCTTGTCCTATTGCTTTCTACTAGGCTAAAGAGACTCATCCCCAGCTCTCTGCACCCTTCTTTCAGGGAGCTGTAGAGGGTGATGACGTCTCCCCTCAGCCTCCTCTTCTCCAGACTAAACACCCCCAGTTCCCTCAGCCGCTCCCCGTACGACCTGTGCTCCAGACCCTGCACCAGCTCCGTTGCCCTTCTCTGGACACGCTCGAGTCATTCAATGTCCTTTTTGTAGGGAGGGGCCCAAAACTGAACCCAGTCATCGAGGGGCGGCCTCACCAGTGCCGAGTACAGGGGTGAGATCCCTTACCTGTCCCTGCTGGCCACGCTATTGCTGACACAAGCCGGGATGCCATTGGCCTTCTTGGCCACCTGGACACACTGCTGGCTCCTGTTCAGCCGGCTGTCAATCAACACCCCCAGGTCCCTCTCTGACTGGCAGCTCTCCAGCCACTCCTCCCCAAGCCTGTAGCGCTGCTGGGGGTTGTTGTGGCCCAAGGGCAGCCCCCGGCATTTGCCCTTATTGAAACTCCCCCAGTTGGGCTCAGCCCATGGCTCCAGCCTGTCCAGGTCTCTCTGCAGAGCCTCCCTACCCTCGAGCAGATCAACACTCCCACCCAACTTGGTGTCATCTGCAAACTGACTGAGGGTGCATTCGATCCCCTCGTCTAGATCATCAATAAAGATTAGTTAAACAGGAGTGGTCCCAAAAACAAGCCCTCGGGGACACCACTCATGACCAGCTGCCAACTGGATTTAACTCAACTTCACCGCAATTCTCTGGGCCCGGCCATCCAGCCAGTTTTTTACCCAGCGAAGTTTGTGCCCATCCAAGCCACGAGCAGCCATTTTTGCCAGGAGAATACTGTGGGAAACGGTGTCAAAGGCCTTACTGAAGCCAAGGTAAACAACATCCACAGCCTTTCCCTCACCCAATAAGCAGGTCGCCCTGTCGTAGAAAGAGATGAGGTTTGTCAGGCAGGAGCTGCCTTTCATAAACCCATGCTGGCTGGGCCTGATCATCTGGTTGTCCCGCACATGTTGTGTGATGGTACTCGGGATGAGCTGCTCCATCAGCTTCCCAGGCACCGAAGTCAAGTTGACAGGCCTGTAATTTCCTGAATCATCCTTCCGACCCTTCTTATATATGGGTTCCTACCACTCTTTAGGAAACACTGGAGTATGACTTGCAAAACAAAGTTTTCTCCCTAGGATTCCAGGAAGTCTCCATCCCAAAACTATGAGAATCTTGTCTGCTTCATTGCTCTCCTCCTATGTGAAAAGTACCAAGAAGCACTGGCAACAGGTTTCAGAGTCCATGGCTTCAGTTGTATCAGTCTCAGACTTCTCATCCAAATACTTGCTCAAGACACTCAGCTCTTGGTACAGTTGACTGTAGTTGTTATGGGATATTTTCACCAGGCTCTTCCATTTTAAAATAAAAATCTAGGCTTTTATCAGGAAAATCTCTTCTATCAGAACATTTTTAACCAGCTCTCTGAAACAAAATTTGTTTTCAGTCATCATTATGTTTCTGGAGAGGAAAATTGGCTTTAAGCAATGGAAACAGGAAAATTGTATCAGAGATCTTCTAACAAGTCATAGTAGAGTCAGATATTTCATCAAAGTTTCTACTGTACTTATCACTTAGAAAGTAATCAACTGATCAGTGTCAAAGCTAAAATAATCCATGCTGTAGTTTAAATGGTATAGTCTCTGCTCGATGCATACATGTAACTCCTGTTAGCATTCTTGGGAGTAGCATACAAGCATCGAAAGGAGTCTAGACCTTAGTGTCCAACATTCAGTCATGGTTAGACTGCCTAATGTTTGTGCGCAGAATCCACATTCAGTGAGATGTCTAGATTTCATCTACGAACAAAAAATACCGATCAATAAATGATGTCCTACCATTGAAGCCATCCTGATCTAGATCCCCCAAAGGTGCAATAGAACTGCTGAATCTTGCAAATATTTCAAAACCATTCAGCTTTGTGATCTGAAACCCTCCAGAAGGTCGTTGAAGGCAAATGGAAACTTGGCCAACCTCTTGAAGTTTCCCATCAGAACCTCGATCCATAAAAAGAGGGGCTCCAATAAAGAGATCTGTATAACTGGACCAAAGCAAGATAAGGTTCTTCAGTAACAGCATCAAAATTCAGTTTCATTCTCTTAAGTATCTGTTAGTAAGACTAACTCAGCACTGAAGTCAATATTAAGATGAAAGTTAGCTATCTTTGAATTGCAACCAAAGGCAAATATTTATTGACAAAGTAAGCACAAATAAAGCAGAATTTAATGCATTTAAAACATGTGAATGTACACATAGGTATTTATGCTAATAAATAGAAAAACAAATCGACAATTGTTAAAAAAAAGTGTTGAGCGCTAGCAAGAAAGTGCGTTGCACAGATACACATTAATCCAGTAATGCAGACAGAAATCTATGTTGTAGGAAAGACTTTTTATTAAAGCTTCTTTTTTTCTTTCCAGAAGCAAGTTAGGTGGCAGTGGAGAGAAGAGGGCACTTACTTGTCCCCATTGATATCTGTGGCAGCCACAGAATACCCAAAATAGGCAGCCATCTGGAAAACAAAATTCAAACTGAACTTGTGAGTTATAGTGATATAAACACACAAACAAGTTTATACAAAATGTATGAAGAGATATTAGGGAGATGATAATATATATCACAACATTTTTTGTCTCCTTATATTTTCCTTTCTCTTCCTTACTCTGTAGAAAACAAACTTTTAGTTACCTTCCTCTTTCATGATCTAGCCCTCTTTCCCAATTCTCAAAACAGTCAGCATTTCCTTCATTCAAATAAGATTGTTCTTCTAAGTAGCACTACGAAATGGGAACTCACAGAACATTTATTTTTACAATTCCTACAGAGTTCATAAAATTATTCTTTGGCACATAAGCTAATAACAGATGGAATATATACCCTAAATGCTGTCTCAACGTGTCATCTACAAGAATAGCCTCCTGGCCACCCACAACACTGAATAAAGCTACATACCTGCTCTCCAGTGAAGTTGTACATGGAAGACATGTTCTTCCCATTGTAAATAGACACCTGCACATGAAGAAACACACATTACAGCGTACCAACAATATTCAGCTTTTCTATTTATTGTAAAGTTTAATGTTTCAAATTTCCTACCATGCCCAGAGTTCTTGCTGCTCTTGGGACTCCTGATACAAAGTCTGAAATATAAAGCAAGACACCTAAGTAACATTCAGGTCCCAAAGCACAATGAATTTGCTTGATCTGAGTAGCTCATTCCTAGTGCCTTATACATTTTCCTGTGCACTGTATTGTTTGTTCTACACTATTTATGTGAAAGACTTGCCCAGCCTATTAACACGATTTTTTTACTGAAGCAAGGGTCTTACCTTCTATGCCATCACCACTGAAGTCTCCAACAGCCACAGAATAACCTGTTCAACACACAAAATTAGTAAATTACTTAAAAACCTTTCATCTCTCTTTACACTCTTCATAGGTCTTTATGCGCAGTTCTCTCGATTCATCTTAAAATGCAGTGGAACAAATATTGCTTCTAAGTAGCTTAGACTATTAACAGCTACATGAGTAGACTTAAATTCATCAGCATCCATGAATTTGAGATCTGAAGATAAAAATTTTGAATTTATCATCCTGGGAACTGTCTTGGTCTATCTTTGCTTCTTCCTTAAGTCAGTTAGACATATATGAATCTAAATGGTGACTTCCTACTCCTCTAAAAGATTCTCTCCATTATTTTTCTTCCCAAACATGATTCTTTCACATTTTATTTAGTTTTGGTAGACTATTTAGAAACAGCTGCTCTTCTAAAAAAATAGGTATGTAACAAACTCCTCACATAAAAATCATACCTCAGCCATTCCCAAATTCAGAGTGAATCACAAAGTACAAAAATCCATAGAAATATTTCCATTTATTTTGTCATCAGGTGCTTTTTGAATCAAGCCTATGGCAAGATAACTAAGCTTCTGTCATATATAAACTACTGCATTTTCAGGTATGTAGCTCTTTAGTTTTCTGTCAAATATTGGATTAATAGTAGCGTGACTTAGACTTAAATATGAATAGCGCAAGGGAGTTTTTCAAGGCAAGCTAGGTTTTCTTTCTTTACAAACTACGCACCCAAGTAGCTGTCATCAAAAGCAGCACTGGCAGGTCTGGTTGCTAACTGGTCATCATACTTTGTACTGTAGACTTTGGAGTCATATTTAGCCACAATCTCCGTCACTCGATCAGAAATAAGTTGGCCTAAAGAGAAAGAAAACTGTTTGAAACCACCAATAAAATACGTGTGCACTCATTCAGTAAGCAACAGGACTCATTTACAGAATGCTTGCTTCTAAAGCAACAACTCTTATGAAATATGAACCAGAAAACAGCCAATAGCAGCAGCACTAAAAAGGATGTAAGTGAAAATTTGGATCCTAGTTCAGCAGAGATTTATGCACATCTTTAATCAAAAGCACACAAGAGAGCTCACTGAAAATAGAAGCTGCTCCTACATGTAAGCCAGGACTTAAATGGGACTGCTCAGTTAGGTAACAGTAAGCTTATGCTTACGGTATTGCAGAACTGAGTCATCGCCCCTTGTCTAAGTACACAAGCTTAAACGGCAGACAAGAAGCTGACAGGATGAGCACAGCGTATGGCCACTGCCTCCTGACACTTCACCAGCCACTAGGTGGTGACTTCATTACATTCTTTTCTTCGAGTTTAAATCTGGAATCACAAAAATTTTCTTTCAGAAGAGCACTTACTTCACATACGTATTCATACATGCATGAAGTAGAGGGAAAAATACTCCTCCAGCATCTCAGAATGTGGAATCAAAATTTGGGGTGAAAAATCTACGTTTTACAAGTATACTGTTGTCTTCTATTCAGAGCTGAGATTTTTTTTCTTTTTTGGTAGAAGATAATCAGGTGGTTTTGGCAGATGATATGTCCCTTTTTCCAGAAACCAATAAAATGAATACACAATCATAATTCTATATCATACTGTATCTGCAGTTTAGTTTCAATTATTCCATTTGTCAGAATTTAAAACATGGGGCTGGAAACAAGCCTCCCATGCTGTGGAATCCATACGTAGGTTGGCATGATACAGAAAATCTTACATAAACATTCATATTTACACAAGAGTTTGTCAGCTATGTCTTGACTGTAGCAGCATCATCTTTTGAACAGTTATAGTTAAACACTGAATGATCCTGCTGACTGAATACTGACTGAAGCCCACATTAGCGAAACATATAGGTAATGTTCTGCGTAAGCAGCGCAGTTAGAGGTAACATGCACCATGGCACAAACAGATCAATATAAACAAATGCAATACATCTTTTCCATCGAAGGAAAAATAACAAGAGGTCTCTTAACGTTTCTCACTGAAGATACATGCTTCATATGTGTGTCATATTACAAAACATGTAGATTTTGAAACAACAAGCAAAATATCCTAAAGGAAACTCATCCTGCTGGTGGAAACAAATTCCACATCCCTGGGACAATGCCTTTAAAACAATCACAGAGTTATTTAAAAGACAAAAGACACATCTATACAATTATTACTTTAGCTTTAATCTGTGTTGCCCTAATTATTCAGGAAATATTTTGAAGGATGAAGAAAAATTATTTCTGTTAGTTTTCTTACTGATGGAGACTGACAGCGGTTGGAGGAGTGTGGATACAAATGATTAAGAGGATAAAGAGAATAAATCAAAGAGGTTAACTTCTCTGTGACTTAAATGATATATCTCACCTTGCCAGTAAAAACTTCCAGGTCCTCCAAGTAGCACTCTGTCTCCCTTGGAGGGGGGGGGGGGAAGAAAGAAAAAGAAAAAAAACACATTAAGCACATCTAAAGACAAGAGAACATGTCCTGTGTTTATGGGAAGTAATCCCATGCATGTCTATCACTGTAGCTTCACTTAACCCAATACGTTTTATTTTTTGAAGGAATGATTAATTAAAAATTCATCTTGTAAAATTCTAAGACAAAAACCAATATGCCTTCAGTGACTTGTTTCTCTGTTTCACCCATTTACAATTCTAGGCAGAATTCTGCTTTTATTATAATAGACCCCTCTACCCACATAAAACTAAGACAACAGAAACACAATTAGGAAAATCTTTAAGACTGCTACAAGGCAACTGTAACATGTTTTTATGTCAGTACACAAAACTAGTTTCATCTTCTGCCCCTGCCACTTTCTGTAACATCTTTAGAAAAGTTTATTTCAGAAAAGCTGTGATGAAATTCTCCCACTATGTATTCCTTGGTACACATGCAATCCACAAACTATTTTATGAAATTTTAACCACATTAGCTATCCCAGTGCTGGGAATTTCCACCATAAGCACTGAATTGGGCCATAGGCTTTGCTGCATAATTAAGCCACTTATTCAGGTTTTAATCTTAAAAACTCCCATATTCACCACTCCAAAAAATCTAGGTCAGAGATCTGGAGATATGCTATACCCAGGCTTGCTCACTCATCTCAGGTTTTGGATTAGAGCCCAAGGTTAGTTTTAACCGGGGCTAGAGTCTGTACAGTAAACCTGAGGGGCACATGCAAAATAGATCTATACTGTACTTTTCAGTTTCCTCTGGAGGAAAAACAAGAATGTCCTCGGGCAAAGAGTGAAGGGATATGACCCAATCATAAGATGTGAAAAACGCAAAAAAATTGCCACATCACAAACAGGACTTACATTGTGTCAACAAGTCCACACTATGCTAAACAATTTAGCTGTACAATATAAAAAAATTATAGTTAGTTTTCAGATTTGTAAAAAAAAAAAAAAAAAAAAAAAAAGAACTATGAGAAGCAGGGAGACCATAAAAGTAGAAGAAACACAAGGCAGATGGTAAAAAAAGAAAGTCTACTTCTGCTAGCTGATGAGAAAAACAAAATGTAACTCAGAACAACATTGTTTACCAGTTCCTTTTAGCAGTATGTTATTCTTCCTTCAAGAAGTAACACTATCTATATACTGGTCCCTTCAAAATAAGTGTCTCAAAAAACCTGACTACTACAGTTTATTTCATGTGAGGACTAGCTGCAGCAGAGGTTTATGGCATGAGGCTGGAAAACCGGATTATCTGTTCAGGAATGTACATAATTCCTAAAGGAGGTGAAAGCATGCTGCTGTGAAGATATAGGGAGGAACATCGTTATAATACCAGAGTGCAGTAGTTTACATTTAGTTTCATAATAGCTGTGCTTGTATGTGCTCTGTATCAGGGATGTTGTTAACTTGCATCTGTCTACTGACTGCCAGCAATTAAGAAAGAATCACATACCTTTGTAAAGTCAATACTAAATCCACCTTGACAAAATCCCTGTCCATCTGCATCGATAGTAGCTATAAAAAAGAATGGATGGAAAAGACAGAAAAATAAATAGAATAAACATTATCAGTACTAGATCAGATGATTCTGTCAATACTTTCCAATGCAAATCAGTATATTCTATTTATCAACAACTCACAACCAAATGCTGTAGCAACGTCAGGGCTGGCCTAACATACATATAACTTTAATATATGTTCTAGCCTAATACAGGCAAAGTAAAGAGCAACTCCATATTTCTTTGTATTTAGTCTTCAAAAGTTTTGGGAAAAATATTTTTATTCAGGAAATAAGGCATTTGCAAAATAGGGAGTAAGTTGAGAGGTTTTGTATGGAATAAAAAAACATACCATAGTGAAAGATACATAACTATATGTTGTTTCAAGTAATGGCTTAAAACAAACAAACAAAAAGCACACCTGGCTGAAAAAAATCTCTATAATCTGAGACTTATCCCAGCAAGAATTGTTATAGCTGAGATAATTTTACAATTATACAGTTCCAGAGTAGAAATGTTGAGACCCCCTTATCTGGAAGTGTGACTACTTAACTAGCTTGATTTAGTTTAATATACACTTAACTTATTTTTATGTTGGACCACACTGGATTTCATTCCTGCTGTTCACCAATGGTATTCAGCAAATTAAAAAAAGAAATCGTATCTTAACATTCAACTTTTAGACTTCTATAATTTTAAAAAGGTTATAAGCATCTGAATAATCTATCAACTCAACTACATGATATGGATGCAAAGTGTTTGAAAAATAAGACTCAATGTTCAACAAGGAATGTAATTAAAACAGTGCGTTGATACATATGCATGCATACGCAGAAATCAGAACCTACTTGTACAAAGCCTTGTCTTCTAAAATTAGCCTTCTCTTTAAATTACTTGAATAATTGTTAAGCTTCAGAAAGTTCTAGAGTTGGTCTTTGAAAAAGCACTTGCTACATAATTTTGCTCAAGTGATTACTACAAAAGGGGTCCTTTCAAGAATTCAAGTCCTCAAGTCCAATGATACTTGGATCTAAAATTTTCCTCTGGCCTACAGTAGAGACAGTGAGGTCTGCATCTTGAACATCAACTGGAGGATGTCTGGATCTAGTTTATTTTGCTTCCCTGACTGCTATGAGGCTATACATAGAAGGAGGAAATACCTGTAAAACATCCTGCTTCTAACGAGCACAAAACATAACATGAGAAATTCCAAACAGAAAAGCAACAGTGTTCTACACTTACTTGACCTGCAGGGTGCATATTCTACAGATTTAGATCCAGCAAGCAGGTAACAAGTTCCTACAGGCTCCCTCTCTTGTTTTGTTTCAGTCCTCCAGTGGTACAATGGGGCACAAGCCTAAAGAAGAAAATACGGCAGTGAGGAAACAAACTCTTCAAAATGATGGGGGGGTATAGAATAATACAGTGAAATTCCAATCTTCTACAAAACAGTATTAAAAAAAAAATTGGCAGATGTACCATGTGTTATTAAAGATTTCAATTATCAGTGCTGGGGCAGAACTATCAGCAGTTTGTATTTTTAGAAATAGATGATTTATAACAAGAATTATAGAAATAATCACTTCTTAAAGCAACAGTTGTAAAGAGTTCATCAAGGATTTATAACATATTCTATCATCAGGAAAACTAATTCTACTACTTTCCTCAATACCACACAAAAATTCTAAACCTTTGTTTATAAAGAATTAAAAAAGGCTACCCAGTAAATTCTGAAAAAGACAAGCCATACTGATTAGTGGGATTTGATTTAAATACTGAGTTATCCAGATCTTTTCACACTGTTTTTCACTACAATATCCTGGTACCAAGACATATGAAGGGCATCAAAAACCTACCAGAATTTTATCATTTTTGGATCTCACAGAGGCTCCAAACCACTGATGAGATTTAAATTCCAGTGGATCATCAGGTGCAAAATCTCTGTTGCCTACAAAGAAAATGAAAAAGAAGCAAAATTTTACAGGAAACTGTACAGTAAGAATAAAAAAATAAAGCTAAGTAATTGGTTTTGATGCATACAGAGAAAAGCAAAAAACAGTAACACTGGAAGAGATCACCCTTTCATAGCAATAAGCTTTCAGATAGATTATTAATTTTTACATCTAGGGCCAAAGACAGCTATTTTTACATACAAAGCATTTGTACAATACTAATTTCTTGTACAAGCACCAAGTTTATAGTATGTTTGAACGGCAATACAGTAAATACCTCATACTTGAGATATTTGACTTACAAGTCAGATTACAGCACTGCTCAAGAATCAGTGCCTAAGATAAATTATGACTAATACCTCTAGAACAAATATTGCCCTGATTAAATTAGATCAGTCTTGCCTTTGGCTAGAACCGGGACAGAAATTCTTCTACTATGCTACCAGTACATCTCCATTCTGAATGTCACGGCAGTGTACAAAGCACGGCAACCAGTGTGCTTCCAAGCTATGAGTAAAGTGAAGGAAAGTGTATTCAGTAACAAAAATATTAAAGAGTTTTCCATACAGAAGAGCAAGTTAAATAAGAGGTAATTTGTACTGGTGTCTCTATCCTGATTGCTTGGTGATAAAAGTTGGTTGAAGCAACTTAATGAGTGCTGTTGCTGCAGTGTGAATATTGAAAGTCTTTAAATCATTTAATGTTTCTTAGCACTTTAACTGGAACAACAATGGAAACTTTGCCAGTCTTATGAGAAAATGGATGTAGCACTCTGGAAAACATATCTTTTACAAAAGTCACCTAAATAGCTTGTTTCCAGTGCCTAAAGCTAAAGGAGTCAATGAGGTCAACAGTCATACATATATCACTTCTACAGACTGCTGGGGGGAATCCCCAAACCCAACCCACTATGAATCAGAGACCTGTGACCACTTGAATCAAAACTTCCTCGCTTGTCTTACACCTTATATAGAATGTTTTGTCTCCTGAGACTGTGTTACTTCATCAGGAAAATCCCATGAAAAGGATGACAAAAGTGATTCTAATCTGCAGCCAGACAAAATCAGCAAGTATCTGGACTAGTTTTGCTCTTAAGATTAGAATTACTTAGAAACCAATGCCAAGCACATAGCATCACAAGGAACTATTGTGGTTTTTTCTAATTTTATCAAAAGTAGTTTAAAAAAAACCCACTTCCTTCTATCACCCTCTCCTCCACTCTCTTCTTGAAGAGATGCTAAAGACATGGAAGGCCTGGTGATTAGCACCTCTGCACAGATTTATGTACACTCGACCACTTACACTGTCACCCTTGCACAGACAACAATGTAGCTTGGAGACCTGCATGTCACCTTCTCAGAGTACAGAAAACCAAAACCAGATCCAAGATATTTACCAAATAGGTAACTGTATTTAGCACGTTTCTAAAATCCCCATTTTATCATCTTTTCCCTTCCATTCCTTTAATTCATGAAAATCCACCCAAGGACAGTTTTGCTCAAAGGATGCAATTGCATCCTTTTTTCAGATGAAACTGCCCCCAAAAGGGGCTGCAGTTCCCATGTCCTCCTGTCCATATGTTCCTACTGCCTGACTCCGTCCTGGCACTACTACCTTCCAGTCTCACAGTCAGAGCATGAACCACCTAAGAATGAACGCTACTAAAAAAAAATACTCAACTGGATCAGGGACCAACCCAGCTGACTACACGGGGAGCGAAGCAGTGCTAACCTGCTGGGTAGAGACAGAAACATACGGCTGGGAACTACATCCTTTTTGGCAGCATCGGGGACTTAAAATTGGTTTATTCTGCTTGTAACCACACCCAAGGTTACACAGCCTAGAAAGACAGATTTGGCTTCTACCCTCTATTTGTCCAGCTATTCTTGAATACAAAGGAATCTCTCTGCTTTACTTGCCAAACAAAGCTTTAGACAATATAAAACTTGAGAATAGTTACAGCATGGCATTTTACACCTTTCTCTCCTGTTGGATACTTATACAACGCTATTTACCTATGACTAAAATGAAAGATAGTATAGCGGGTTTATAATGTAAAGCAGAGTCCTATTGTGCTAGGTACTATAAAAGCATCTAGGATGCCAACTTCCCATTTAAGTTTAAAACAATAGGCAGCAAGTAGAAGGAATGGTCTTGTTGCAATAGCAGATAAGCAGCCATTCGGCATTATCAGCAATCTGATTTTATCACAGGTGTTAAGGAAATTAGCTCCTTCAAGTTTCAGCTGAATGCATCAGCTGAGACAGCATAAAGCCATAAAAATAAAAAAAATTTAAAAATTAAAAGACAAGAGAGTACTGGTTACTAGTGTCATCTACCTATAGCCTATGTTGACTGCACTGGAGAAGAGGGGAACCAGTTGTTTAACCAGCACATGATGCCAAAACAGCCCCTCTGCGCTTTCTTGAGCTGCAGGTGCTGCCCACCCACCAAGGAAGAATCAACATCCAGGACAGCAGCTACAAAAACTTCTCTACCTCAGTCTTTAGGGGACAAAATTATTTTTTCTGCAGTACTGAAAATGCCCTGATTCAGCTCTAAACTAAGGATAATATCAGAACCCTCTCTCCATTTTTATTTTAATAGGTAAACATCTAGGCTTTGAGATCTTTGCGTCAACTAGCATACAAAAAACTAGAATCTGCAAATAAACACAACCCCAAGTTTATTATGTTCCAAACGTCATGACTTCAGAAGCCAGAATCATAATTTCTAAAGGCCTAAGTAACAAATTAGGAATTCTTATGCTTAAAGAAACCCCCATCACATAGTAAAATGTGCTCCACTGGGCAATTTGGCTAATTAAATTTTATTTAAAGTATGCTACTATTGTAAAAATATTTTACAAGTATCTTACTCAAATTTTCTTATGTCAGTGCAGATGCACATAAGACAATATCTGCTACAAAGTTAAGATGCTGAGTTTATCCTGTATTCAAAGCTTCTTCGGGTTCTATAAAACTAAGGGGGAGTCTTGAGGAGAGAGGGTTGCTGTTTAGCTTGAGACTGGATGTAACACAGGAAAGTGCATTAAGACACAAAAACTAGCTCCAAGTAGAAAGCACATACATTGGAAACACGAACTTTTCAGATAAAAATTGCAAACATTAAATACAGACCAAATCTGATGCTAAGTCTCCATTAAAGAAGAAAAGTAACCTTTATTTGCCCACTCATTCAAAATTCTGCCCAGGAAAACACTGTGCAAATAGAATATGAGCCCTTCCTTCATGTCCAGAAGAGAAACTAATTTTATGAGGAAATCTGGAAAACACCTTGTCATCAGAAACCCCCTTGCTTTAAATGAGACCATGTGGGTTTCTGTTCTTGACTGGGAAAAACAAACATAAAGAACACTTAAATGTGAGGCCTCACTGAAGAAAATCAAAGTTAAACAAGGTGTTTTAGCTATCCTGTAAAGTAGATTTGTCATAGGAAGATACAGTACTGACTTCAGCATTTCTATGTTTTGGTATAAACAAAGAGCCTGACTTCATTATTATCATGGTATAACTTTTCAGTGGTAGTTATAACCAAAAAATAAAAAGCGCTTTCCCCCACACCCTTTAAAAACAGTACCTACATTACATGAAAGAAACTTTAATACAGCTAGGATTTAAATACAGGGATTTATAAATCCATACAATTGTTTTTATGTATTACAGTCATTCTTACTACTCTACCAGTTCTTATGGCCACTGCTGGTTTTCTTGAATTTCTAAATTCTTTTAGAGTGTCCCAGAAATACCTTAGAAATATCTTTAAACAGGCATTCAAACAAATATACCCAGGCAATACAAACTATGTTAACTAGATTTATTTAAGAAAACGTTCAGAGTTTTTACACAAGGGTATTGTCAGACTAAAATGGAGCCACTTCTACTTGATGGGTCATTAATTCTAGGATTATGTCATCTGACCATAGGGTATTACTTTGTATCTGTAAAGGCAGCTTACACGGTGGTTTTTCCTTTGCTCCTTCTCACTGTAATAGACATCACAGAATGATTTTACATAACTTTTCCATTAGGGAAAAAGGGCTGACATGCCAAGTCAACAGTGCTTTGTCTCACAAAGTACGTTCTAGGTGCGTGATGGGGTTGTCAAGGCAGGAACAGAACTGCTTTGAAAATCTATTACATGGGTGCATTGTTGCTGCAGGACCAATGAAACATTGTCACTTTACTGAATTACATAGGATTTAAAATTTATAAATGGAAACTAATGTGGAGAGATGCCAAGTAGAAATTGCAGAAAAAGGAAAAAAAATAGTCTAAGACATCTTCCAAATATAATAAAAAGATCAAAAGTTCTTTCAGTGCTGGATTTCTTTTGGCTATCAGCTTTGGATAGTTGGCGCCTTCTTTTTCCAGTGTAAATGTTATCAGTTACAGAAACAATGGTATTACTACAAAATGACTGCAGTTGAGAGCTCGGATGAGTTGTAACTTGCAGCCTGCCTGTTTGCACGATAATGAGAAAACTGAACTAAAACACTTACCCCTGATCTTAAGTGCCAGACTTACCAAGATAATCATGAGTCAAGAGGCAATGAACTGAGGAAGCCTGATTCAGTGTCATCATACTGTGAATACTTAAGAAATGTAAAATTTAAGTAGTCACCCAATTCACAGAATTTCCATTGAAATAAACCTCTTTGTAACTATGGCAATTCAAAGATACTGCCCCTTATACTTAAAAGGAAATTTTCTGCTAATAGCCAAAAGAAAGAGAAACTTACAAAATATACAAGAGCACTATTTTCACAGTATATGAAGCTAGTTATCTTCCACCCAAAACCTCAGCGATTTCAACCTTATTTAATAAGGCAAGAGCGAGTGAGTACAAGCTTATCTTTACTTGAAACTGCCCATGCTTCGAGGCAGCTGATGGTTTAGCAACCCTGGTTAAGCCACAGTGTTTTCTTAATGACTCAGAGAGACGGGAATAGAGAGCTTCCCTCTACTCCCCTTCC